TTCTCCTTGGGGGGTGATTTCTCACTTCTTATCTGTCTCTGTCTCTCTGGTGAGTGCACACACCCTATAGCAAAACAAAAAAATCTCTCCTCAAAAAAAAAAAAAAAGATTTCTTGGCTCGGATCAGCAGGTGGCATGGCAGTTAAGCTGCTGGACTGCCACATGACTGACTGTGGTTCCAGTCCTGAACCTGGCAGCTTCCTGAACCTGGCAGCTTCCTTTCTCAATCTCTGGTGAGTGCATGAGCCCTAGAGCAAATTAAATAATAATGATAATAATAATAATAATAAAGATTGTTTGGCTCTTCTGGGTATTTTAAATTTCAGATGAGTTTTAGGATCAATTATAAATTTCTATAAAGAAGATAGTTTGAATTTTGATAGAAATTGCATCAAATCTATAGGTCAGTTTGGAAAGTACTGACATCATGATAGTATTAAGTCTTGTAATTCATGAACATGGAATGTTCTCCCATTTATTTAGGTCTTTTTTAGTTTTTTAAAACTATGTTTTATGGGACCAGCAGTTGGAGTAATGGCTTTGTCACTGGACTCCCATGTAGTCAACTGCAGTTTGAGTCTCAGACCTGGTAGCTTAAAACTCATGCCGGGCACAGGTGCTTGCGTGCCCAAGATCCCAAGAGGAGAATGGAGAAGGGACTGTGGCGTGACCATCCCCTCTAGGAGGCGATTTTTCGCTTTCTGTCTCTCTTTCTGGTGAGCGCACGTGCCCTATAGCAAAAACCTTCCCCCTCCCCCCAAAAAAACTATGTTTTATACTTCTTAATGTGTGAGTCTTCTTTTGTTAATTTTATTCCTAAATATTTAATTTTTTAAAAGAGGTTTTTGCCTTAGCTTGCATGCACTCTTGCTATAGAGAGAGAAAGAGAGAGAGACAGAGATGGCGAAAGGAAAAGTGAGAAATTATCCCCCAGTCGGGATGGCCACACCACAGTCTCTTCTCCCTCATTCTCCTCCCAGGAGCTTGGGCACACATGCACACACACTCAACATGATTTTTAAGCCACCGGGTCTGGGACTCAAACAGTGGTTGGCCATGTGGGAGTCCAGTGACATAACTGTTACACCATTTGCTGGCCCCAATATTTAATTCTTTTGATGTTATCATAAATGGATTTATCTGTACTTTATTTCCAGATTGTTTATTCCTAGTGTATCGAAATACAATTGATTTTATATGTTGATCCTATATCTTACAACCTTGAACTTGTTTATTAGCTCTAATGGTGTGTCTCTGTGTGTGTTGCTTAGATTTTTCTACACTAAGATCAAGTCATTTGTAAATAGAGTTTTATTTCTTCCTTTCCAATCTAGATGCCTCTTATTTCCTTTTCTTACTTGGTTACTAGAAGCTGTACTATAATGTTGAATAGAAATGGAGAGAGGAGATGTCCTTGCCTTGTTCCTCATGCTAAGGAAAAACTTTATTTTTCCATCACGAAGTACGATATGATGTTAGCTGTAGGTTTTTTGTAGATGGTATTTATTAGATTGAGAAGTTTACTTCCTAGTCATTGAGTTACTTTTATAATGGAAAGATGTTGGAGCCTGTCAGATGCTTTTTCTGTAGCTATTGATGTGTTCATGTAATAGTTTTGTTCTATATTCTATTTATTTATATAGTGTGTTACATTGATTGATTTTTATATGCTGAAGCAATCTCACATGCTGAGAAAAAAATCCCACTTGGTCATTATACGTGTATATAATTTTTTATATGTTGATGGATTCTATTTGCTACTATTTTGTTGAAAAATTTTGTGTCTGTATTCATAAGAGATTTTGTTCTGTAGTTTTTACTTGTTTTTTAACATTTTTTTCCTTGTGTATTTGTCTAGTTTTGATCAAAGGGTAATACTGACTCTGCAGAATGAATCAAAAAGTGATTCTTCCTCTTCTGTGTGTTGTAACAGTTTATGAAGGCTTGGCTTTAATTCTTCTTTAAACATTTGGTAGAATTCACTAATGAAGAGATCTAGTCTTGACCTTTGATCGTGAGAAATTTTCGATTACTCATTTAATCTCTTTACTTGTTAAAAATCTATTCAGATTTTCTTTTAGTTTGTGCATTTAGGAAATTCATCCATTAATATTTTGAATAGGTTATCCAACCTGTTCCAGTTGTTATCATATTTCATTATAATCCTTTTTATTTCAGTAACATTAGTATTAATATTCTGTCTTCTGTTCCTGTGATTTTTGGTATGTTGTGTTTTCATTTTCATTTGTCTTAGTATTTTCTAGATGTCCTTCTGATTTCTTCCTTGACCCATTGGTTAATTAAGAGTGTATTGCTGGATTTCAACATACTTGTGAATTTTTCTGTCTTTTCTTATTGATTTCTTATTTTTATCCTGTTATGGTAAAAGGACATATTTAGTATGATTTCAGGCCATTAAAATATATTGGGACTTGTTTCCTTAACACATGGTCTATTGTGGAGAGTGATTTATGTGTACTTGAGAAAGTGGATATTCTCTCTTGTTGGATAGAGTATTCTAGATATGTGTGTTAGGTCTGATTGGTTTATAGTGTTCAAGTCTTCTATTTACTTGTCGATCTTCTGTCTAGTTGTTCTATCTATTACTTAGATTATTGAAGTCCCAACTACTGTTGAATTGTCCATTTCTTTCATTTTTTCAGTCTTTGATTCATCTGTCATGGGCTTTGTTGTTAGGTGCATATATATTTGTAATTGTTATGTCATCCTCATGGATTGACTTTATTATTACAAAATGTTGTTTATCTTTCATAAATCTTTTCATTTTAGGCCTTTTTTGTCTGATGTTAGTATAGCTATGGTCATCCCTTTTTTGGTTTCTGTTTGTATAATACATATTTTCTCATCCTTTCAGCTAATTTGTGTCTTTTCATGTAAAATATTGTTTCTTTAGAGCATATAGTTGGATGATATTTTTATCCATCTGCCAATCCTTGCCCTTTAATTGTAGAATTTAATCCATTTGTATTTAAAGTAATCATTAATACAGAAGAACTTCTGTCATTTAAAAATTAGTTTTCTATTTGTCTTCTATTATTTTTGTTCCTTAATTTCTCTGTTACTACCTCGTTCTGTGTTTGATTTTTTTTTTGTGTACCATTTTAATTTCCTCCTCATTTCCTTGTCTGTATATTTTAGCTATTTTCTTACTGATTATATGAATTATAATTGAACCCTTCAAGCTTATAAAAACCTAGTTTGCATTATTTTCAATAGTTAAAATTTTTTTGCCTCTTTATATCTTCATTTTCTGCCCCCCTTTGTGCTGTTATACATACAGATTACATCTTTATACAATGTGTGCTTATCAATACAGATTTATAATTGCTTTATGCAGTTGTGTCTAAGTCAGGTAGGAGAAAGAAAGTAATTACAAACAAAAAATACGTTTATACTGTCTTTATATTGGCCTTTTCTAATACCCTTTTTTCCTTTGTATGCATTGAAGTTACTCTGTAGTGTCCTTTTATTTAATTTGAAGGATTCCCTTAGTATTTCTTGTAGGATAGAAGTGTTAAAGATAAATTCTTTGGGGAGCAGCAGTTGGCATAATAGCTATGTTGCTGGACTCCCATGAAGTCTACTACAGTTTGAGTCCTGGACCTGCTGGCTTAAACTCATACCGGGTGTGTGTGCATGCATGCCCGCCCAAGATCCCAAGAAGAGAATGGAGGAGAAGGGATTGTGGCATGGCCATCCCCCTAGGGGGTGATTTCTCTTTTTCTGTCTCTCTGTCTCTGTCTTTCTGGCGAGCACATGCACCATATAGCAAAACCCTCTCCAAAAAAGAGAGATAGATTCTTTGTTTTTGTTCATCTGGAATATTTCTTCATTTTTGAAGAATAATTTTGCTGGATATAGGCTGCCTTTTATTTTTTTTTAGAGAGAGATTTTTTTTTTTTCCTATAGGGCACATGCACTTGCCAGAAATATAGAGACAGAAAGCAAGAAATCACCCCCTGGGGGATGGCCACCCCATAATCCCTTCTTTGTTCTCTAGAGATCTTGGACATGCATGCACAAATGCCCAGCATGAGTTTTAAGCTGCTGGATCCGGGACTCAAACCATGATCAACTACGTGGGAGCCCAGCGATGTAACCATTATGCCATCTGCTAGTCCCTAGATTGCTTTTTGACAGTTTTTTTTTTCTTTCAGCACTTTGTGTCATCACACTATCATCTGCCTTCATAAATTTTAATAAGAAAGCAGCTATTAATCTTATTGAGGATCCCTCGTACGTGATGAATTGCTTTTCTCTTGCTGCTTTCAGGGTATTATCTTTTTTTATTTTGTTGTGTCTATACGTGGATTTGTTTGAATTTATCCTACTTAGAGTTCACTGAGCTTTATGGATTTATAGATTAATGTTTTTCATTAAGTCGGTGAAGTTTTCAGGCACTTAAAAAATATTTGCTAGAGGGCATGTGTGCTTGGTAGAGAGAGATGAGGGGCAGAAGTTGAGAAAGCAGTCCCTTTTCCTCCATTCTCCTTTTGGAATTTTGGGCACACGCACACATGCCTGGTGTGTATTTTAAGCCTCTAGGCTTAGGACTAAAACTGCAGTTGGCCATGTGGATTCAGCCACCTTAACTACCATGCCATCAGCTTGCCCAGTTTTCAGCCATTATTTTTTCAGATATTATTTCTGCTCCTTTCTCTGTCTCCCATCCTTTTGGTACTCCCATTATATGTAAGTTGGCATACTTAACAGAAGTCAAGTGTCTGCCTGATGGGGATAGTGGGGTGGTGTTTTGTAGCCAAAAAGCTTGTTCTTCAATTGATTATGCTGGGAGAACATGAACCAGGCTGCCAGGTCTGCTGCAGGGAGTGAACAGTAAGGCCTTCTGCAGGTCAGGGAGTCAGGAAGTTAAAGTTTGGGCCCTTACTTGATCACCATGTACATGTCTTGAATGAGATATTCCTTACTGGGACATGATAGAATTAACTAATGACCTTGATTTTTTTTTTCCTCTATAGGTTCAATGTCAACAATACCATTCTTCATCCAGAGATTGTTGAGTGGTGAGTACAGTCTATGGTCATTTTGGTTATCTTTTGTGCCCAGCTCATGGCGTCGGGAGACCCTGCTATTCCCACTGACCCCATCTCAGAGAGTCCTGCCAAAAGTCAACCTTGAGAGCCTCCTTCCTTACCCTTTTCTGTTTGTTTCTTTGGTTAGTTGGCTGGGTTGGTTTTGTTTCTTTGTTTGTTTGTTTTGTTTCTTTTTTTTTTTTTTTGAGACATTTTCCACATAGA